ATTATACTTTATGAGAACCGATGACAACAGGGCAACTTGCAAAGTAGATATTTCATTTAAGGGAGGAAACACTACGAATATGCAAAAGCATTTGCTCACAAAACACGCGATGACACGCGTTTTTAATTCCGCTCCGGACTCGTGACTCTCAACCCAGCAGCAGCGCTAACGTTTGCACGTCCTCTCCCGTTAATGCGGCAGGTAAATAATCAACTAACAGTGCATATTATGTTAGCGCAATCTGCCTTATTACAAGACCTGCCATTACTGTACATGTAGGTGACCATGATGAGAGAGACAGACAGAGTCTGGCTGGCGCTCGCTGGTAGTTCTCGCTGCAGTCTACCGGTAGCGTCTCCTTTCAGGCCAGGATAGACTAATGTCACCGAGCAGTGTCTAAGTTTGTGGTCAAAGGCTTGAACCCATTTGCCACAGCAGATGCCCCGATTTTTGGTAAGTGAATGTGTTTAATTGTAGGCAGGGACATTACTGGATATTCTTGTGTAATTGCCACAGAACAATTTATGTTATACTTTGTTATTGCTACAGAAGAATGTTGCAGCTTTAAGGCAGGGATGACTCCTGGAGTTGCTTTCTCACTGCATATGCTTTATTTCACAATCAGATCGATTCGATAACAAAAACATACAGCAGCTCCTCTCCTACTCCTAGCCCTTCGCTGCGGTGGAAAAAAGAACGACTTCAATCCCCTTCAAGGAACATACGTACAAAATAGTTTTCCTGATACACCAATGGGGCGTTCAATGCCATCTTGTAAATATGAGTACTCTGGCAGAGTAACAGTTCAAATGAAAAATACACCAGAACAAACAAGCAAACAAAAAAAGAAGTGTGGGGTACCTTTGAACCAATGAACAAAGTATAACAATTTATACTTTTTAACATAACCCGACCCCGTCAATATGTGATATGTCTCACAAGAATATTTATTTTATTATTTTACATTTACAATTTTTTTTTCCTGGGGACCCTGTGACACCCCATTGAAGAGCCGTAGGCTGGATCTCTCAAGATCTCACTGTTGGGTTTGTAAGGCCATGTTACATCCATCCATCCATCTTCATCCGCTTATCCGAGGTCGGGTCGCGGGGGTAGCAGCCTAAGCAAAGAGGCCCAGACCTCCCTCTCCCCAGCCACCTCCTCCAGCTTGTCCGGGGGAATACCAAGGCGTTCCCAGGCCAGCCGAGAGATATAATCTCTCCAGCGTGTCCTGGGTCTGCCCCGGGGCCTCCTCCCGGTGGGACATGCCTGGAACACCTCACCCAGGAGGCGCCCAGGGGGCATCCTTGTCAGATGCCCGAACCACCTCAGCTGGCTCCTTTCGATGTGGAGCAGCAGCTGCTCTACTCTGAGCCCCTCCCGGATGGCCGAACTTCTCACCCTATCTCTAAGGGAGAGGCCAGCCACCCTTCGGAGGAAGCTCATTTCTGCCGCTTGTATCCGCGATCTCGTTCTTTCGGTCACTACCCACAGCTCGTGGCCATAGGTGAGGGTAGGGACGTAGATCGACCGGTAAATTGAGAGCTTCGCTTTTACACTCAGCTCCCTCTTCACCACGACGGACCGGTGCAGCGTCCGCATTACTGCAGCTGCAGCCCCAATCCGTCTGTCGATCTCCGGCTCCCTTCTCCCATCACTCGCGAACAAGACCCCGAGATACTTGAACTCCTCCACTTGGGGCAGGAACTCATCCCCGACCCGGAGTGGGCACTCCACCCTTTTCCGGCTGAGAACCATGGCCTCAGATTTGGAGGTGCTGATCCTCATTCCCGCTGCTTCACACTCGGCTGCGAACCGTTCCAGTGCGAGCTGGAGGCCCTCACCCGATGAAGCCAACAGAACCACATCATCCGCAAAAATCAGAGATGAGATTCTGAGGCCACCAAAGCGAAAGCCCTCCGCCACTTGGCTGCGCCTAGAAATCCTGTCCATAAAAATTATGAACAGAACCGGAGACAAAGGGCAGCCCTGGCGGAGCCCATCACCCACCGGGAACGAGTCCGACTTATTGCCGGCAATGCGAACCAAGCTCTTGCAACGGTTGTATAGGGATCGAATGGCCCGTAGCAATGGGCCAGACACCCCATACTCCCGCAACACCTCCCACAGGACACCCCGAGGGACACGGTCGAATGCCTTCTCCAGGTCCACAAAACACATGTAGACTGGTTGGGCAAACTCCCATGCACCCTCAAGTATCCTCGAGAGGATAAAGAGCTGGTCCAGTGTTCCGCGACCAGGACGAAAACCGCATTGTTCCTCCTGTATCCGAGGTTCGACTAGCGGACGAACTCTCCTCTCCAGCACCCTGGCATAGACTTTCCCAGGGAGGCTGAGGAGTGTGATCCCCCTGTAGTTGGAACACACCCTCCGGTCCCCCTTCTTAAAGATGGGGACCACCACCCCGGTCTGCCAGTCCACAGGCACTGCCCCTGATCTCCACGCAACATTGCAGAGACGTGTCAACCAAGACAGCCCTACAACGTCCAGCGCCTTCAGGAACTCGGGGCGGACCTCATCAACACCAGGGGCTCTGCCACCAAGGAGTTGTTTAACTGCCTCAGTGACCTCGCCCCCGGAAATTGGCGGGTCATACCCCTCATCCCCAGACTCTGCTTCCTCCTCGGAAGACGTGTCAGTGGGATTAAGGAGGTCCTCGAAGTATTCCTTCCACCGCCCGACAATTTTCTCAGTCGACGTCAACAGCGCTCCGCCAGCACTATACACAGCGCAGGTAGAGCACCGCTTTCCCCTCCTGAGACGCCTGACGGTTTGCCAGAATCTCTTCGAGGCAGTCCGAAAGTCTTTTTCCATGGCCTCTCCGAACTCCTCCCACACCCGAGTTTTTGCTTCAGCCACTGCCCGAGCCGCATTCCGCTTGGCCTGTCGATACCTGTCGGCTGCCTCCGGAGTCCCACAGGCTAACCAAGCCCGATAGGCCTCCTTCTTCAGCCTGGTGGCTCCCTTCACCTCTGGTGTCCACCATTTGGTTCGGGGATTACCACCACGGCAGGCACCAACACAACACCCTGGTGCTCTCCTGCGAGCCGGTGAGGCAAAGCCAATGTCAGAGCGCTTGACAGGTGCAAAAGGAAGAACGCGTGAACCCTGGGTCCAATCGTCGAGACTCATAGTCCCGCAGAATAACACCGATCGGTCACATAAACCAGACTTGTTGAATACTAAGCTCCATGACCTGGAGGGTAGGTGTGGGTATTGAGAGGCATAAGGGCTCGCGAGACTTGTGGCCTCTACTGCTGGACATGGCTCTTCCCCTAGGCCTGCTTAGTGGCACACTCCCTCTGCCAAGCGCACAGTTCGTGTTTAGGAGCATTCGGTCATCAGCGAGCGTTTCCAGCGTCCTCGGGACAGATAAGATTGGGGCTTGATTAACAAAGGACTGATTGTGCAACAATCCAGGAACCATACTTGATCCAATCGAGCCCATAGTGTTCGCACAGATTTTTATCAGCAAACTTCTAACGTTCACCTACTCTTACGCACGTAGTGCCAATGAAGACAAATGCATGGTCCAAAGGTTTGGTAGAATAAGCATGATGTACGATAAACAAATCTCGATCATATACGAAGACCACTAACGGCCTAGCCGAGCGTCGGTGGCCTGAGCCACAGGCCATATACATCAGACACACGTCCTTATGTTCAAAACAGTGGTGTTCGGTATTATCGCCCCAAAGCACGGTGATCTAGCAAAAGAAGGTCCAATAGCAAACGCAGACATGCTCGAAAGTTTCACGAGATACGAGGGACCGAGCATAGAGCTTCCTCAGGTCCATACTCCCAAAGTCACGCACCGGCGGAGAAGCGCCGGCACTGCGGCTCGTTATACATGGCGATTCACTGACAGAAGAAGCATTTCGGATTTGATTGCGAGTGACAAGTTTTTCGCGTGTGAGCATTGCCAATAGAACCCAGCAGACGCAACAGAGTCCACAGGTGGAAGCCAATCACAGCAGCCTCCCACCAGGATACTCTAAGAGGCTGGGTTACTTACCGACTGCGGCCACTCAAATGGCGAGCCCAACCGCGCAAACTCTGTGGGAATCAGATGACAGATTCAGGAAACGCTGTGGCGTCCGCCAAGTACCAGACTTTAAGGCGCTAGGAGAGCATCTCCTCGAATCTGTCCATTGGGTGAGAAACATACCCACGTCACCGAAGAGGCAGCCGAGGGGATAGTGAGAATACAAACACCCAGCCGCCAGCGTGACTCATCACACACGGTCCTGCAACAGTCCAGACGTCAAGGCAAGACCATAGTCCATGCCCTCATACTACATCAGGAGACTGGTTCCAGAGAACCACAGACATCATGCATGAGGTGATTGAAGCCCAACTCATATCTAGCCGTACGGAAACGCAGTTAGCAATGCTGCGTAATTATTAAGATGTCCTTCCGAGAACCACATCCCAAGGACCTGTTGCCAACTCAGGCTCCTTCCCCACCAGAGAGGTGACATTCCATGTCCCTATTGCCAGTCTTGGCAGCCGGGGTCGGTCCGCCAGGGCCTCCGCTCCTGGCCGCCACCCGGCTCACAATGCACCCGACCCCTATGGCGCCTCCTGCGGGTGGTGGGCCTGCGGGAGGATGGGCCCATGTCTCCTCTTGTTCCGCGGCCCCAGAAGGCCCGGCCACAGACGCTCGCCCTCGGGCACCCTCCCCGGGCCTGGCTCCAGGGCGGGGCCCCGGTAACCCTATCCCGGGCAGGGTAAACTGTTCCCTCGATATTCTCTTCATGGGGTCTTCTGAATCGCTCTTTGTCTGGTTACTCCTAAATTTCTATCTTGTTCAAAGAGAAGATATAAAACAAAGTTCTAAGCTAATCGACCTTAGTGTTCTCTTTTTAAAAAAAAAAAAGAATCGATAAGAGAATCGATAAAGAATCGAATCGTTAAACAGAATCGAAAATGGAATCGGAATCGTTAAAATCTTATCAATACCCATCCCTACTGCCAAGACCTCGGCCATCGTGTGCTGCCTGAACCACGAGACGCTGGAGTCCAACTGTATCCAGCTGGAAAATGGACTCCAGTCTTTTTACAGCACGCCTCTTTCACTTTTTTCTGGCCTTCACACTCCGATGGATGCGTCAGAGAGCAACTTAGTATCTTGGAAGGATAATTAGCACGCAGCCTGGAGCAGCCAGGGATCGAACCACCAACCTTGGATTAGTAGATGACCTGAGCTACCTCCCCCACCTTAGAGCACCCTCCTTCCCCAAGGGTGATGGGGATGAGGAAAATTCCCAGTTTACGCAGCCCAACATCAGCCTGCCAACGCATCAAACTACAACTGCTGCCCGAAACAAGAGACGCCAGAGTCCGAGCGAGCCGCTGGATCAGAACTCACTGAACTTCCCTGACGCCTTCTTTCATCTCGGCCGGTGCAGAGACAGTAACACAGCTGCCAGTTTCTATGGAGACAAACTAATACAATGGGTGTGACATCATGCACAGGTGAGACACAACAGGAAGTCTAATCAATATCCTCTATACCAATGAGCAATCAATAACAATGGAACAGAAACCTGAAACACACTGAGACAGGTGAGAGACAGACAGGTGTGATGTGTGGGGCGCAGGTGAGCTGTGGAGCAGGCGTACGGAGAGTCAGGAAAGTCATACTAACGTGGGCCGTGCGGCAGAGACACCACAGCAAAGATGCTGTCGCAGGCTGCAGGTGAAGAGGAGAAACACTGTGAGGAAGGGAGAGGAGTGGTGACATCATCCTGCAGAGAGGAGGTACGATGATGGAGGCAAGAGCGAGGAGAGGAGGTACGATGGTGGAGAGGAGCACCAGGGGAGGAGGCGCGATGGTGGAGGTGAGCGCGAGGAAAGGAGGCACGATGGTGGAGGGGCGCACAAGGAGAAAGGCGCGATGGTGGAGGAGGCTGAATGCTGGAGGTGAACGCGAGGAAAGGAGCACAAATGAGTAGAGGACCGGCGTCGATGTGGAGAGAAGCAACAAGGAGACGGAGGCGGTGATGGTGGAGGCGAGCGCGAGCGAAAGGAGCGCGCAAAGAGAGCGCGATGGTGGAGTAGAGCACGATGGAGGCGACGGCGCGGGATGCACGAGTGGCAAGGAGAGAGGGCGAGAGTGGTGCAGAGGAGCACCAACGGAGAGACGAGGCTGGCGATGGTGGGCAAAGCAGGAGCAGATTGGAGAAGAAAGGAAATAAGGCGATTTCGTACCTGGAGGCCTGGTCAGGAGACACGAGGAAGCGCGCATTGGCTGGAGGTGCATCGCGGGAGCGCGGAGAAAGGAGGCACGTGGGGCGATGGGGTGGAGGCAGGGTGCTGGAGGCCCACAGGAGAGATGGTGGAGGCGAGCATGGTGGGGAGGAGCAGAAGGGCGATGGTGGAGGCGAGCGCGAGGAAAGGAGGCGCGATGCTGGAGGCGAGGCGGAAGAGCGCATGGTGGAGGAGCGGAGTGACGCGCGAGGAAAGGAGGCGCGATGCTGGAGGCGAGTGCGAGAAGAGGTGGCACGATAGAGAGAGCGCGATGTGGAGGAGGAGAGGAGGGCGCGATGGTGCAGAGGAGCACCAGGAGAGGAGGCGCAATGCGTGAAATGAGAGATCATGCACCAGCCCGAGAGCGGAGGAGCGATTGAGGTAGGCGGGAAGGCGGATGGTGGAGAGGAACATGAGGAGAGGAGGCGCGATGGTGGAGGGAGCGCAAGGAGCGCGTGGGTAGCGCGCCGAGGAAAGGAGGAACGCGATGGGATGGAGCGCCATGGTGGAGGCGAGATGGTGGGGAGGAGCGCGAGGGAATAGGAGGCGCGATGTGGTGAGATGAGTGGAAAAGGAGGCGCAGATGGTGGGAGGCGAGATGGAGAAAGGAGGCGCGATGGTAGAGGCGAGCGCAAAGAGAGCGCGATGGTGGAGGCGAGATGGTGGGGAGGAGCGCGAGGAAAGGAGGCGCGATGGTGGAGGCGAGCGTAAGGAAACGCGGGAAGAACGTCCTGAAGCACAGCACGAGGGCGGAGCGCAGGTTGTCGCCGCCTCGTTCAGACTAAGAGGCTTACTTTGTGTCTGATTGGTCCTGCTGCTGCCGTGACCTGTTAGGGCCTCACAGGTGGACAGCAAACAGGAAGCCACAGTTCCAATCCAAAGACAGCGAATAGGGTTGTGTGGTCACATTCAATGCGTTCAATAATATCAGTGGGCAGGCTCAGTGTCAGTGTGAGTGGGCGGGTCTTACTGGAGTGGAATGGGCTGCTGGGTCCTTGCGGCGAGTCAAACACGCTGCCCACATCTGTGGAGCTGGAGGCGGCGGAGGCGGCGGAGGCAGGGGGCGGGGTCAGGGGGGTACGGGGAGAGTTGGGGGCAGAGGCCGGCGTCCCCTCGGACTCGCTGTCCGGGATGCGGCTGTAGCTGATCTTCCTGGGCTCGTTCTGGAGCGGCGTCGGATGTCTCATGGTGCCGGGCCGGGCCGAAGTGGGTCGGATCCCCGGAGACTTCAGAGGATAGGTGTACTTCTTCGCCTGCAGCAGGTGAGTTGATTAGTGTCATGCACGTCACACGCAATGCAACACGTGACATGACAAGGTGCTGCCACGCTCGTACTTACAAATCGAGGAGCCGATCGGAGCTGACGAGGTTCGATCTCCAGAGACTTGTGGAAGAGATAATCACTGAAGTCCTTCTCCGACAGGTCGCCCATTGTTCAGGTTCTCGAAGAACTTCTGCTCACAAGACCAAAAACACTGAAAACAACTAATCCAAATGCCACTCAACAGGACTGAAAGAGCAGCTCCAACCGTGCTCATGCTCCACACACTTCATTGGCTTCCTGTTAAATCAAGAATCTGCTCCTACATACAAGGTCTTAAATAATCAGGCCCCATCTTATCTTAATGACCTTGTAGTACCATATCACCCTATTAGAGCACTTCGCTCTCGCTCTGCAGGCCTACTTGTTGTTCCTAGAGTATTTAAAAGTAGAATGGGAGGCAGAGCCTTCAGTTTTCAGGCCCCTCTTCTGTGGAACCAGCTTCCAGTTTGGATTCAGGAGACAGACACTATCTCTACTTTCAAGATTAGGCTTCAAACTTTCCTTTTTGCTAAAGCATATAGTTAGGGCTGGACCAGGTGACCCTGAATCCTCCCTTAGTTATGCTGCAATAGACGTAGGCTGCCGGGGGATTCCCATGATGCATTGAGTTTTTCCTTTCCAGTCACCTTTCTCACTCACTATGTTTAACAGACCTCTCTGCATTGAATCATATCTGTTATTAACCTCTGTCTCTCTTCCACAGCATGTCTTTATCCTGTCTTCCTTCTCTCACCCCAACCGGTCGCAGCAGATGGCCCCGCCCCTCCCTGAGCCTGGTTCTGCGGAGGTTTCTTCCTGTTAAAAGGGAGTTTTTCCTTCCCACTGTTGCCAAAGTGTGTGTGTGTGAACAGAAGGTGAGGGGGTGTGTCCTCACTCTGATGTCACCCTCCACCCGCAGACAGTACGGCTGGTTCTGGTACTGCTGGATCTCTCCGGTGATCTCGGCCACTTTCCGTCTCTTGCTGAAGTTGATCAGATCTTTGCCGTGTCTGTGCAGGAAGTCGGGGTTTCCCTCCTCCGTTTTCAGGATGTTGGTCAGGTAGATTCCTGTCACACACACACATACAGTTATTTGACCTTCGAGCTGCATAGTTATCCATTAGAGATTGAGTCGAGAATGATCCTGATAAAATTGACTATAAAAACATTTTAATAGACTTCCCTGGGAGCCGGCACTTTTTTTTTTTAACTTCCCCACATGAGAATCATTTCAACTAAGACAAATGGATCCAGGTGGGGTCTGATGAGCGAGTACAGGTCTTCTTGTTAGTGTCTCTAAAGCTCAGAGCTCCTCCGGATTATTTGTATCTACGACTTCGTTTGCTGCAACATAACCACTTTCGTTCTTCTCAACTGCACACATGACGACTATCTCTGTGATTATGACTTGCTGATTGTCAGACGTCTGGATTATTATCCATAAAGGTGACCGTCCCTGTCACGTTCACATGTTCAATGAGCAGCTGAACCTGCTAGTTACAGCTCTTATTGTAATTGTTACCCTGTACAACAGGCTGCGGTTTCGTGATCGGAAAAGACAGCGACGTTCCCAGGTTCGTCCACGATACACCTGCAGAGAGTCACTGCATCAGCTGACTCACTGTGGGTTTGTTCCAGCACATAGCCCTCGCTGTATGGCTTACTTTTGAAACCTTCACGAGGGTGAGTTGTGTGTGTCGGATTAGTCCCGCTAACAGGTGGGCGATGCCTTGATCTGCATTTGTCCTCCTGGTAATTGAGCTTTGCCAGATGCTTGCTGAACGTTACAGCTTACAACGGATTATGTCACCGCCCTGCAGTGAGATTGTTAGAAAATGGACAGTGCCGGCATCACGAGGCGATTTACTGTAAAGTCTCGACAGTACTGGGGCGATTTGATGGTGCATCAAGGTGAATGTCAGTGTCCGGTCAGTGCACATGGGAGGTAGGGAATTCAAGGTGATCTTGAACTCGCACGCACTGGCTCTGTTGCTCCCTGATAAGTCTTGTGGAATTGATCCCTGCATTCATACACGTATCCGCGTATGATCATTTCCTTGCTCAAGACAGGGGGGCGCATGGGGGTTGATGCGCGAAGATTATCGAACGAGTCTCTTTGCAGGCCTGAGCTGACTATGAGCTCTCGTATCGGATTATTTAGATTCCGAGGGGATGTGAATCTCACATGAGATTGTTATCTTTATACAACAAGTGGAGTCACTGACTCATGTCAGCGAAGATCAAGTCAGTCCTTTGACGTCTGGTTCGTGGGTAAATTAACTCGGGTCGAAGGCTGGTTTGGGGCGACACTCAAAGCAGACTTCTAGTCCTGTACCCTGGATCCGACCGTGGACAGCCCGTTTCGTTATAGCTACCTGCCACCGCACATTCAAGTGCGAGGAAGTACAAGTACCATTAGCTGAGACTATGATAAGGGCTAATGGTAAGTGGCCGTGAACACACCGCAGCCCAGGCATTCAAATCAGACTGCTGTTTTCAGAACACGGTAGTGGGTGTGAGATATCGTAACGTGGCGATGACAATACTTGCGATTGAGATCCATTACCATAGACTAAGTGTTGGACTGCCAAACCTCAATATTTGACGGGTCTGCACGCCCTTCTGAAGATCGGCAGTTACCAATACATGAGTCGAAAAGCGACGGGTGCAGTGATGTAAATGCGAGGGGCAGGAGTCACTGTATTGGACATGAGAAACCTTGACCGTGCGACGTTGAGTTACGATGGGCGTCAAATCTAGAAGTCGCTATGGTACGCTCTCTAGTTTCCGATTTGCAGATGTCCAAGAGACCTTTAGCGACGCCGGATGCTGAGGTGCAGCTGTACAAGTGAGGCAACTCACAGCTGTATTCTGTATACCTTTATGAGGCTTTCGTATCGATCTTCCGTGCCCAATTGCGCATAATGATAATCTTGCTCGCCTGTTCATAAGCCAACAGGGAGTTTTGCTACTCCGCTATAAAGCTCTATGTCAATCGTTTTTGTAGAAAGATCTGACAAACGAATTGAAGTTTGTGTGCACCTTTTAAACTACATTTTACGACAGAAGTTCATCGCTAGGGAGGGCCCAACTGTTGTTCGACAGTGCGAAAAATTCATTGCAGCGACCAATCTAATTGTGATCGTCGAATACTCGAGCAGATGTATGAACTCAGGACTTCTCGCAGTGCTCTCGGCTGACGGTGACATCTTGGACGTTTCACGCTGGTGCGTTCCCCGCTATTGGCTCCGCGGCTTCGGGATCTCAAACCTGAAAACATCAACATCACAGAGCTGAGAGCAGAAGCACACCTGTTGAGATCCACAGGTGTGCTTCTGCTGCGACCTCCCCACAGTCCACAAGGGGGCAGGAATATCGTCAAATTTCAGCCCATTGAAAGATGGTTTCCATTCCCAAAATGGGAGAAGCAACTGTGAGACCACGGTTTTGCTCACTCCCACAGTCACAGGGAGTACGCATTTCACTGAGAGTCATTCCCAATGAACTGCTTCAAGACCTCTCTCCTCCTCCCTCTCCTGCCCTGCTCCTCACACTTTATTTGCTCCGATTGTCTGTGAAGGTTCTCAGTCCTCCAGGTCGTCGTCGTCTAGGCAGCTCAGAAAGAAAAGCACTTGGACTTCTTTGGGTTTTTTTTTAAGATTTAATTTAATTATTACATTTTAAAAACAAAAGCTCTTACAGAATAATTATGGCACAAAGTAAATATCTACAACTCATTACAATACGGTAAGTTATTGTGACTGCAGGAACACACTTAGGTGTATATTCTTGCATCCCAAGGATAACGTCATCTGGACTTCTTTAAATTCCTTGAAGATGTTTCAGAAGGTGGAGTCCCAGATTTAAGCCCTCTGGGAGTGTCTCCCCAGAGGGTCCTGGACCCCCTATTGAACCTCCCCTAATCACACGAGGATCCAGGTCATCGTAGACCCCCTAACCCCTGTGAGGTGGTATCAGGTGAACCCGCTGTGAAACCTAGCCCCACCCTATCATGTGACTTACTGAGGTCAGATGGCCCAGGAAGTGAGTGGGCGTTAAGGCATCTGGGAAGGATCTCAGACTGGATTATAGATGGCAGACAGTTGGTGTGGTAAGCCCCGCCCTCTGTTCAAAGATGGTCGTACACAGTGGACATAGATGCTGATCAGGCAGATGATCAATAGGGGGTCCAGGACCCTCTTGGGGGACGCTCCCATAGGGCTTAAATCTGGGACTCCACCATCTGGTCTCAGAACTGAAGACGCTTCTGGGATGAAACGTCTTCAAGGAACTTAAACAAGTCCAGATGCTTTTCTGTCCGAGCTCCTTCAATGTGCTCCGATTGGTTCTCCAGACTCATATGAAATTGCGTGTAAACAATATGTGTTGCTAGGCAACCAGAGACAAGCTGAGGTGTAAATATGAGCCAGTCTGCTGTATATATGGTTCTATTTGTTTAAATGATAAATAAACCCAATAACACACGAGACGACGGGGGAATTTTAATGAAAGCGCTGCGAAGTGTGTGAGAGCGAGGCGGCTTCTGATGTGGTCAGGCCTGCATGAAGCTCACTCTAGGAGTCTGCTCCGTTGAATATGATTGTAGTGTCAAAATCGGACAGTTTGGATCTGAGAAAAAACATGATCAGTGGGGATCAGCAATACAGTCATACAGCTCGGAATTGAGGTCAGCCGTTCGGCAGTCTAAACTGCAGACACGGCAGCGGCGCACACGCCCAGTTCACTACGTGCACGTTACTCAGAGCTACAGTCACTGAAAACAGCCATACCCTACCGAGTGTTGCAGACGCCTGACCTGCGTATGTGAAGGAGTCTCTGATCAGATTCAGGACAGTCCCCGCTTATGCATGGGAAGCTCTGGATCTTGAGACGGCGTATCTAACCTCGAAACAGCTCCGGAGTCAGGCTCGGAACGTCACCTCGAGGCCGAGTCTCACGATCACTCCTCTCCTCGCAGCCATGCGTGTCAGCTATTGATCAAGCCAGTGTGCTGAGGTCAAGCTGAGCGAGATCAGCCCGCATCACTAGTTCTTCTCCTTAGCTTGGCGGCGACACCTGTTCCATCTTTCAGGTATGTTCTCCGATCAGGCTGGCAAGTACTTCGCTCAGTTGCATTTGCGCTTGATCTCGAACTGTTGCGCACTGGACGACTTAGGTACAGCTGTGACTATCTTGACCCCGACTATTCGATCGCTGCTCGATCACATTGATATCTCCAAGGCTACGGTATAGTTAGCAATCACGATGAATGACACCAGCGCAGTGACACTACGTCTTCGGCGCATCGTGGAAGCCACTTGAACAGATTCTGTAGAGCCGTTGATGAGATCCGACTGGACAGGGCTTGTGTGTGACTCATTCACAGTTAGTCCAATCTCGACGAGGGCAGGTAGAGTCCGACTGGTTCACAGATCTCCTGCTCCGTTCGCCGCAAGAAGGTGGATTGTTGAGTCTCTATTGCTCTCTCCGCTACCGCAGCATGGGTCTCAAATAGGCTAGCTTCTCAGTGCGCAGCATGCGGGACCCGCGTGGTAAACACAGGTCAGCCCCTGTATGCTAGACTTTCGGAACGTTACAGTAGCCGTAGAATGTTTCAGAGGCATCCTCTTATAGACGCACTCTTGGACATCGAGTTAAATCTGGCCACGCCTCTTGTCATCTTTGTGTGTGGACTACTGTTCGAGAGTGAACACTTTTTGCTTGTGTTCCAGCCTAACAGTTTCACCATTGACGTGAAGCCCAGGAGCGCCGCCTGATACTTGCAGCACATCAGGCATGGGAATGGCTTGGCCGACCGGTCAGTCCTCATGGATCTGAGCATGCCTGTCCCAGCTATTTTGACTATCTGTGGCGATCTAATGGTGGCGTACGACCCTCGCTGCACGCCACCACACAGGAGTGAGAATATGTAGAAGAAGAAGAAGAGTTAGTGAGGAGGATGGAGAGGGCAGGGCTCGCAAAATCGCTAGCCCGACGTCCCGGGGCTAGCGATTTTTCCAGTCGGGCTACCAAAATCTATCTCTGCCCTGCCCGTCGGGCCTATCGCAGGAAGGAAAAATATATGTCAATGCTTTTGCATTCTTTCGGAAATGTAGCTGGGTAATTATGTCATTGGCATCGGTGAGCCACTGTCAATATGTGACATATGAAATCGCGTTTGAATTTGCGCTTGTTTTTTTGCTTTCACTTTGCAATCGCGCGAACTGTGTATAGAGAGCAACAGCACTGATCTGTGAGTGATGATAATTTGCACCAATTCCTCTGGAGGTTCCAATCTTCCGGGCAAGGACAGAGAGACTCAAGAGGAGCTTCTATCCCCAAGCCATCCGTGCCCTAAACACACACACCCGCCCTCTCACATCATCTATAATTGACTGAGACAGGACTCTTCCAGACACTAAACCAAGGCACAATGTACATTTCAATTCCTTTAATTTAAATATGTTTATATTGTCTATCCTGTAAAATAGTCAGATGTCTATTCATATTAATGTACAGAATTCACCTGCTTGCTGCTACTACTGCACATTCACCCAGTGTATATACTATATTATATAATTTTACTTCCTTGTGGGGTGTGTGTGTGTGTTGTGGTTGTAGTGTGGTTGTATATATTTATGTATACTTATATATATATATCCTTGCAAGATCGAAACTTAGTCTGCATAAGTATTAATATATAGTTATATGGGTATAATATCTACTAATCTCTCAATACAACCACCAACTCCCAATTTTTGACACAGTGTCGAGAGCGGTCCAGGCCTACATTTAAAAAGGTGATGTTTATACTTGTAATAACTATGCATGTGCAATAAGGGACGGACCTGTCTCAGTTTCACACACGCTCACGCTTTGTCATTTCCTTTCTATAAATTCCACTCCCAATTTTTGTGGTGCAAACAGTGAATTTATATGCAAACAAAGTAAGGGAGTGTGTACATCCATTCATGACTAAAGATGAGGGTGGAAATCACGTTGGTGCACACACACAATACAGTTCACAATGACTGAGATTTAGAGAAAGTGGATCATGGATGTGCAGTATCGTGTGTGTATATGTAAGAGATTTATACACCTGACACTCTGACTTGTGCTTTGATCTGTCAGTAAGGAGATGAACCACAAGCTATTTTGTACCTAACGCTGAAAACCAGGTGACAAGGCCAAGGTTATAGCTGGGATCTCAATGTGACCCAGCTTGTCAAAACGAGCCATAACAGTTTAATAACTTCGCAGTGTTAAGATTTAAGTTAATCTAAATCTAAATGTTAATTTACAATACTGTTCAAAAGTCTTAAATCACCCCTCATTTCTTCATCTTTTGCTCAGAAAAATGGGAAACTGGTGCACTGATTTATTGAAATGTACAAATATAAAAGAAACAGAGTTTGTACAATTTTAATGAGCCTGAAAGTCAATAATTGTATAACCCTGCCCCTTTATTCTTCAACACAGCCTGAACTCTCTTAGCCAAGAGTTAGGATAATTTCTGTAAGTAGCCTTCAGGAGTAGTTCTTGAAAGTCATTCAAAGCTCTTCTTTGGATGTTGCCTGTCTTTTGTTCTGTTGTCTGTCAGCATGATCCCACACTGCCTCTATAGTGTTGAGGGTCTGAGCCCTGGGGAGGCAAATTCATGACTGAAAGTGTCATTGTGTGTCTTCTTGTGTAGGTATGCTTTTTTTTTTTTTTTGCATTGACAGTGTGTTTGGGATTGTCATCATGCTGAAACATACTGACGGGCTGCAGTGCCACCCCTCAGCCTCCTAGCAGATACACCTATAGCATAAATTTGAAATTATGCAGCTTAGTCATATCATATGTACATTAATAGTAATAAAAACACAGATTCTGGTTCACTCCTTACAATTAAAGATGCAAATTAATGCAAACATTTTCGTGTGATGCTCTAAAAGCGAGTGCAAAAAATCCTAACCAAAAACCCCAGTGGTAGAGGGATGATATCTGAATTATATAACTTGATGATGACATCCTCTCCTGATTCATCTGCTGCTAAGCTTGAAGCTTGGAGGTATGACTTACAGGAGGACTTGACAGTGGAACAATGGAGTAGAGCATGTAAGCTAGCCCAAACACAGACAGGGAACACACGTCTAAAATTGCTACAATTTAATTGGTTGATGAGAGTGTACATAACACCAGAAAAACTTAACAAATTTAATATGCAGATTCCTGATATCTGTAATAGATGTGAAGAAGATAAGGGCACATTGCTCCACTGTTTATGGTCATGTCCAAAAATAAAGGAGTTTTGGGAAGAGGTTGGAGCAATGATAAAGGAGATTTTGTCAATTAAACTTGTGATGGATCCCAAACTTTTCCTACTGGGATTATATCCTGTAGGGTGTAACATAGATCATTTTGAAAAAATCTTCATAAACATGGGAATACTACAAGCAAAGAGAGTGATAGCTCTAACGTGGAGGAGTCTTGGCAAACCAAGTATTTCACATTGGTTCAAAGAATTGTCTTTATGTTTACCATTAGAGAAAATTACATATACTCTAAAAGATAAACAAGAAATTTTCCAGAAAATTTGGGGGCGCTACATCCAGTATATTGGGAATAAAGATCTATCTGGTTTACTGTGTGAGACAGGGACAGCCTAGCTATTCCCTGTACAGGACCACAACCATATGCTGCAATCTGAAAATTATTCTTTAAAATCTGTCAGAGGTCTCATGGACTCAAGTGCTTTCATTGAATGTACCTTGTGTTTCGTTTATTGTGTAAATTTGTTTGTGTATGTACTTTATATATGTATATATGTAAAACTTTAATAAACATAATGTTGAAAATAAAAAAAAATAAAAAATAAAAGCGAGTGCAAGGACTTAAATTCAGCACCAACTACTAACTGACCTGACACTCATGTTGAACAAATGGAAGCACTGCTAACACAAAAGCATTCGTAACACTAAGCATAAACTTACATCGTTGTCCTCAGTCTGATCTGCAGTTTCCTCCTCTGAACCTGGGTTTTTTGGCAGGTAGGTCATTTTTAGACGCAGATGACCTTTAACTCTGGACTTGTGACTGTGTGGGAATGGCAAAAACGTAAATAAATAATTGTTTTGTTTTCTTTGTTTTTAGTGGAAGAAATAAATATCCAAAATGCTAAAAAAAATAATAAATGAGTGAGCCAATATATGGGAAATGGAATGTAAAACAGAGAAAGACAAAAGATTAAATAACCATGAAATCATGCCAACCTTCGTGGGTGAAGCAGAAAATCCTTGAATGTGTATGGCCTTTCATTGTTAGGATTTTCTGTCTGAGAAAACAAAATAAGAAAAGGAAATCTTTCATTTCTTCACACTGCATGAATAAATCTGCTGTTCAGCTCAGGATCATAACACTTTTAAGATACCAATGGGTGAAATGACAGTGACCGTGCACAGTGAGGGCTAATTTGTGGGTGCTGTATTTATAACAAAACAAAAGCAGCAGCATAACATAAACACAACAGACTGTATTTCCAAAACTGTGGACACTGATGTGGAACAGGCAGTAGAATAAGGATGTCCATGTTTATATTTAAATGGTGCCATAGGTGGGACTGAAGCTAAGAGCTCACACAGTGAAAACCAAATTACATTCAGCCTACTGTGATCTTAGATTAGAGACATCAGTATTACAATGAATTTTCTACAGCCAAGCACTCACCGGTATTTGATTTAAGGGGATATCCACCTGTCCCAGGAAGTCATCACGTGTCTGAAAAGGAGAGAAAGAGGGAAACGCATGGACATCAGAGCCGTGACAACATCATCTACAAACACAGAGGACGGGCTGTTAATCTGATGTCTAAAAGTCCCTGTTCCAGAATGCAGGTTTAGCTAAACCTGAGAAAACTCATCTCAGCTCTTCTGCTCCAAATTTCTGACCCACTGGACCCAAATCAGTTGCCTGACAATCAGTTTCTTTTTCTTATTTATACAGTTGATATCAAAGCACATACACACGGCTTTTACAATTAGTCTGTCACCAATTTCACCTGACATCATCGGTTTATTATCAGCTCAGAATATACTGTATATGCTACACATTTAAAACTGTGACAGTAACATTTAACTGCACGTAGTAGGTAAAGAGACTGACATCCAGCCCAGCAAGTATCATCTACCCACAAAAAAACAGGGACTGATTTTTTCCATTGCACATGACCAAAATCAGTCTTAATTTGTCTAATGCAAGTGTGTCAAGCATAAGGCCCGGGGGCCAGAATTGGCCCGCTAAAGACTCCAATCTGGCGAAGCAATTTGGGCAGCTTTGAAAAAATGTGAAGAAGGGCATACATTTTAGACTTAAGTGTGTCTTCATAGGTTTTACAACTTTTCCTATTGATAAAGATCCATGATCATTCATACTACACCAAAGATATATAACAGATAAGACATTAAATGACATACTTTTTTTTTTTTTAATATCTACTATAGAAATCTATGATTTTTACAGTGAGTTCACAGTAAACACACAAAAAACATAAAACAAAACAAGGACATTCTGACAATTAATTTTAGTTTTGTTTTAAAATCACAGGGCGGGCACTGTGCAAAGAGCTAACAGAACTTTTACTGTAAATTTACATATTTATTTCTTTACCCAACGCAGCATTTTTTTTTATTTTACAATGTAGAAAACCTATGCTGTATTGTTGGACTTATATATTAAAATACCTCTGAGATTAGATTGTGATTAAATTTTTTAGTCTAATATTACATATACTACTATACTACATATATAATAATATATAGTATATACACAAGTATATGAGACACAGACACACACACATGCGTGGACACTCATACACACCACAGAGTACAGATCATGCTATTTCTATCTCTTAATAAAGCTATATATATCTTTATCTTCCTATATATCTGTATTGATATCTATCTATATATATATATATATATATATATATATATAAATAGATGTTTTTTACATGATTCATGAAATTAAATTAGCAGGACTAATTTCCCCCTTAAAACATCTGTCAAAAGAAAATTTAGTTAATTCTCTAGTTTCTGTACGCCTAAGTTAAGGTTATACAAGCATTAAACATCAAAGGCCAGATTAACAGTTTAACAGCAGAGTAACTTCTCTGTGTTAAACAAACCACAACTAACCACAAGCGCAGACAAAGCATCACCGAAATAACACAAAAGGTGATCAGAGAAAAAGCTCCCTGGATGAGGAATGTTAACAGGCCTCGTCTGTTGGGAGGGGGGATGATTAACAAGCTAAAAACAAGTTTTGGGAGACAAAACTTTTCTGAGAGAAACCAGACAAAACACATGTCATGTGAAATAACCTAAATGTGGCAATATTCAGTCAAGTCAGACACACAGGTTTAAGGTTTCACTCTACCACATCATTACCACAGTCAATGGCATTGACTCAATGGCATTACATAGCACACAATTCATGTTTTTGGACAAGTTAAATCTATAAATTTGTTTCAATGACACTACGCTGCATTCTAACTGACGGGCACAAATAGACTTATGAGATGCATTAATTACTTTTTCTGTTTTGAGTTATCGTCCTGCTGCTTCAGTTTTTCCTGGTTTGTTAAAAGAGGAAACTATGGGTGGAGCCATTGAAATACAGATGGCCAACAAGTGGACCAAACTATCAGCTGTGACAGTATGGGGGGGATGGGAGTTCTTTGCACTGAGTTAATCGATTGTCCTTGGGGTTTCCCCCTCCTTTTTCCTCTTCTGCCCTCCTTGCATTTAAAAATGGTCTATTCCTTTAATATATAGCATTAGTTCTTGATTTACACAGGTTAGTTTGTTGAGTTAGGGTCTTGATTTGTTAAGCAGTTAACTCCTTTACGGGTTCACTTCTTGCTTAAAATAGTTTGTTTTCATTATTTTGTATTTTTGGTATAATTTTATGTGTTTTAGGGTACAAAATAACCATCATTTGTGAACCTTTGTAAACATTACACTTACTTGTGCATGTACATCATTTCCTCAGTCCCTTATATGGCATAAATGGGAAGCTGCAAGTGGCTTCCTCATCCTCTACCCAAAAAAACAAAACAAAACCCCGAAACAAAACCTGGGTGTGGCTTAAGAGTTTGGCAGGACCTTTAGTGTGCCTTGGGCAGAAAAAGTATTTAAAAACAACTGATTTAGAGTACAGAGAACCACTTTAATATCTCTAAAGAAGTATGTCTGTGTTATCTGCAGTGACTTCAAGGTTGTACATCTCTCTCTTTTATCTCAATCATCAGTAAGGGCTAGAAATATTTCCTCTCACCCGATTTTTTCACAAGACACTCCCTTTAACAAACCGTCTTTAATTGTAGATTTAACAGAAAACGTTTCCCGCTGCACTATTTTCCCACTTCAAACAATGAAAGTCATTTAACTGGCTCCATTTCCGTGTATATTTAGCATGTTGCGCAGGCAGGAATGTGTTTATCAGCCGACGATGAATGGCTGCTCTGTGTTATTCCAACAGAGACTGGGATCAAAATAATGTAGCATTTGCCAGATGAACCGTCTTTGCTTTGAACTCTTCACACATTCACTGCATGCCTTTATTGGAGCTGTTAAGGTCTCGAAAGCAGAAGGCTGAGGCCAAGCACAGTGGGAGTCAGCATGTGTGACCAAAATGAACACCCATGGCAGGTCAAACTGTCTAACAGGGGTACAAAGTGTTTATGTGAACAAATTTAGATGGAGGCCTCCTTCATCGTGCCCTTGCACTTCTAATAGAGCAACTGAGAAAAGCATAAATCCAGATTAAAATAAACTGAGCAAGCTTTTCCAAAATTACAATGAACTGTCCTAAAAACAGCAGTCTCTGTTTTATGCAAGCGGTATTAAGACAAGCACACTTGTTATCGTTGCTGTTACACTGGCAGGCTTTGCATTTCCATTAAGAAACCGCCTGCTTTGCACAGTACTTCCTTCATGAGGTCTTCTAAGAATACTAAGGTTAAACGCACTGTCAGTCCTCTGTGTTTATTTACCCTCCACCATATTATGGAAGTCAGAAATAATTGTATTTATTTTGGGTTTGTTTACAATACTGAATGACTGGAGATTTAACATACAGTAAACAGAGCAGCTGTGGCTGTATATAGAACACTGTCTTTATTGTTTACAGTAGTTTATATTAACAGAGGGTACCCATATGGAAAATAATTAAAAACTATTATTAGCATTGTCTAACTGATACTATGACTTACTCATAAAAGTGGCTCC